GTAATAGACCATGATATACTTTTAGAGAAACTAGACTCATATGGCATAAGAGGCGTGCCAAATATGTGGTTCAGGTCTTACCTGTCAAACAGAATCCAATATGTAGAAATAAAAAACACTGATGGCAGTGTCAAAACCAGTTATAATTCATCATGTAGGAAAGTGAAGTATGGTGTATCACAGGGATCAGTGTTGGGGGCACTTTTATTTTTACTCTACATTAATGATTTTACAGAAAATGTTCAAGGAGCAAAGCTGGTTTTATATGCAGATGATACCAATCTGTTAATTACTGGAAAAGATGAACTTGACCTTCAATATAAAATAATGAATGTTATGAAAGAATTAGAAATATGGTTTCAAAAAATAACCTTGTAATAAATACTAAAAAGACAGCTGCCATGTCATTTCATTCAAAACAGCGGAGAGATCCGTTAAGACCACAAATAGTTTATAATAATACAGAAATAGTATATCAGTCAGAATTGAGATTTCTTGGAAATCACATGACAGAAACCCTAAAATGGTGAGCTCATGCTCAATTTCTAAAAGCAAAGCTATGCAAAGTAAATTATATGGTGAAAATATTAAAAGAAATAATGAGTCCATATATGATAACATTTATTTTTCGAATTTTGAGTCATGTATGAGAAATGGTATCTTACTGTGGGGTGGGGATGGGGAAAGTAAAAGCATTTTTAAATTGCAAAAGTGGGTTCTTCGAGTGATTAGTGGTATTAGTAGTCGCATGTCATGTAGACAAATTTTTAAAGATTACAATGTTTTAACATTGCCTTCTCTGTATATATTGGAGGTGACATGCTTTATCAGAAAATATAAGGCTTTTATGGCAATAAATTCAGACATTCATAATTATAACACATGAAAAAAATTAAATTTTTATGTACAGCACTGTAATACAGCTCTTTTTAAGAGTGTGATAAATATGGGAATTAGTTTGTATAATAAGGTCCCCAATCAAATAAAACAAAGGGAAAATTTTAACTCATTTAAAAAGGAATTAAAATCTTTTTTGTTGAAACATTCCTTTCATTCTGTAGATGAATTTATGTCTTTTGATTCATCAAGTGTGTAAATGTAATATGTAGCTGATTAATTTGTTGTATTTTGTGTAAAGACAATGAAATTAATAGTAACTAGATCTAGATAATATTATTCAGATGACGAACCCCCTATATTAGGGTGGTACAGTGTATTCTGTAAAGATATGCACGAGAATCTGACAATTTCCCTATCCAAATGGTTGTACTACCTGTATGTATGGATTGTTGAATGATAATAAAAATGAAATGAAATGAAAGTTCCATACTAAGATGACTGACAGGATGTTACTGCTGTTGAGTGTTGATGTTCTTACCCTGATTACACTGTGCAGATCTGTTATATTTCAAATATTCAATTGCACGCAACTCTTCGAAGCTAAATTCTGTCCCACCAGCATACACCTGTAAATGCCACAGTTATAATGTAATATTCATTACCATGAATACATCTATGAAAAGTTTTTTATTTTATGATTTCAAATTAATGAAAATATTAATGTAACAAAAAGAAACATCTGATATCCACTTAACAGATGAAGATTCTATTGCAACTGACATAACAGTGTATTACTACATTATCACAAGCTGCCTTTCCAATTTGTAGGAGAGGAAAATTATCACTGGTGCCTTCACGATGCTGTATTTACGAAAATGGAAGATGAGCTTTTACCCATATTTTCAGAGTTAAGAAAGGAGACTCATTTTGAATTTGAACGAAAAATATTGTGAAAATATGACGACCTGACCGCCATCTGTGAGCTGATTATCTAGAAAAAAGTGGGAGCCATAACATCTCACGAGCTTTACCTTCTCTTTTATACATCAACTTCAAATACAAGGGTAAAAATTACTGCAAGAATAAAACTTCCATTGGAGACCAACCACTATGTATTATATCTAGATTGTTAGCTGTCAACAGTATCTGTCTTCATGGTTTCTTTGTCCATATGTAGATATATGAATTCAAAGAAAAGTCGGTATTACTTAATTACAAACGAATCATCAAACTAATGTACCTTATTTTTGCAGTACATGGGGCGTTTAGTAGGATCTTCAGGCTCAAATACAGCAATGGAACACTTGAAACCATCCTCATCCAGTTTTCTTGGTTTCAAAGCATTACAAATTACAAGAGGAGAGTTTGGCACATTCAGCTCCTCGTCTCGGTGCACTGAAACATTCAGGTTATAAACTTTATAGAGAAAACTGTACAAAAATATAAACCTACCTTCTGCAACTGGGGTGGGCAAAAGCCATCCCAGTACTTAGAAAATGGAGCACAATAACATGTTAAGATTGCAGCAAAATATGTTCCACTGTCACACATTCATGAACAATTCGGTCAAATCAAATCTTCAGCATGCATAATGAAATGTACATTCTGAATGCCACTAACCTGTTTGGTTCAATGTAAGTGTTCTTTTGTTGCTATACATAAAATGATATATTAATAATAATAACAACAACAAAAAATATCAGTGGTGGGCAAATTATGAGAAAATAAATTTTCTTGTGTCTTTTAGTAATGGCAGTAATGATTAGTTACAAGATATGTGTCCTCACATATGACCCAGAAGCAAAATATTAAATTCTGTAATGACCAAGTCTGAGGAAATGCTTAAAATTGAAAGTGAGAGGTCATTACAATGCTGACCTACATTCATTATATACCGTATACCAGGAAGAGAAATATAAAGGGCCTTATGGAAGTGACCCTCTTCCATAAGATGATCCAGCTCTCCAGCGATGTCAAGTACCTTGGTCTAGTATTAGACAATGGACTGACATGGAAAAATCAGCTGGATAAGGTCATCAATAAAGCGTATAAGGCTTTTTGGGCATGCAGAAGCATGTTTGGTAAAACCTGGGGACTGCAGCCACACGTTGTGCATTGGATATACACTGCAGATGTAAGACCCTTAATTACATATGGTGCCACAGTATGGTGGCTCAGAGTTAAACTCAAGACAAGCAAGGGAGAACTTAGCAAATTGCAAAGGTTGGCTTGCTTGGGTATCACAGGAGCAATTCAAACATCTCCAACAGCTGTACTAGAGACACTCCTTGGACTCCCCCCACTGCATCTACAGTTGGAGGTAGAGGCCAGGGCAGGAATCTACAGTCTCCAGTGCAGTGATCAATGGAAACCTTAATTGGTAGTTTCGGGCATGCATACATAACTCAGGACATGAAAAAAGAACCCATATTACAAATGGGGTCTGACAAAATGATTTTGAGACATGTATATGAAAAACCCTTCACAGTCAGATTTCCTGACAGGAGTAAATGGGAAGACGGGTTTTGGCCCAATAGAAAAGGGGGACTAATCTGGTATACAGATGGTTCCAAGATAAATGAGAGCACTGGAGCTGGTGTGTTCTGCTAAGGCACGAGGCGGAAACTTAGTTTCAAACTTGGGCAGTACATGACAGTATTCCAGGCAGAAGTATATGCCATTAAGGCATGTATTATGGAGAATCTAGATAAGAACTACAGAAATAGGAACATTACATTCTGACAGTCAAGCTGCACTTAAAGCGCTTGACAAACACCAGATCAACTCAAAATTTGTCTGGGATTGCCACCAAACTCTCATGGAACTGGACAAACATATCAGGGTACAACTGATATGGCTGCCGGGGCATGAGGGTATTGCTGGAAATGAAGCAGCAGACCAATTAGCTAAGACTGGAGCTGAAATCTGTTCATACGACCTGAACCAGCCTGTGGCATCTCTATAGGAGTTGCCAGACAGGCAATCAGTGAATGGACAAATATGAATCACAATACTGGGAATCCTTAACTGGAGTCAGGCAAGCAAAGGGACTCATACGAGGACCCTCTACTAAACAAGCGAAGGAACTGTTGAAGTTAAACAGGAACCAGCTGCGATGGGTGGTAGGACTACTTACAAGACACTGTCACCTCAAAGGACACCTCTTCAAATTGGGACTAAGTAACAGTCCAACTTGAGAGAGGTGTCAAGAAAACAAAACAGCCACACATATCCCGTGCGAATGTGAAGGGCTTAGGTTGTTTAAGATTGCACCACTTGAGTTAATATTTTATGGAACCAAGTGACTATTTCAACGTCCCCACGTACAAGATCCTGCGCTTCATTTGAAGTGCAGGATTGCTGAGGGGATAATCAGAAGGGGAGGCACAATAGACCACTGAGGTCGCGGTGCTAGGGCCGAGAAGGCCCACCCCTTATACATTCATTCATTCATTCATACATGCATTACATAAAAAATTAAAAGAACAACAACGTCAATTCACTCTGTCACTCCTTCCAAATTAGAATCACTTCTTGAAGTTGTTGAATGGATTAACTGATCACTCTCAACACACTTGTTACATTCTGTAAACGCCAATGGTACATTTCTCCAATTCTGTTATTAATTTAATGTTGATCCTCTCTTTTCTAACAATTTAGCACTTGTATTTTTAACAAACACAGCACTAATAAAACATTCACTCCAACCATGACAGAATCTGAATCCCAATGACAGTTTCACACAAAACCACTGAATGATATAGCGATCTACGTGCACTAACTATCAGTGTTGCTAGGGCCGCGCCATAGCTCAAGCAGTTAGTCGCTGGCTTCCCACCACAGTGGCCCGGGTTCGATCCTGGGTCTGGTCAAGTGGGATTTGTGGTGAAGAAAGTGGTGCTGGGGTGGGTTTTCTCTGAGTACTTAGGTTTCCCCTGTCAAGCTTCATTCCACCAAATTCTCCATCATCATAATCACCCGGGGCAGGTACAATAGGCCAATCAGTGGCCACTGTGCCGAGTGGACCCAGCTGGACTCCACCCCCCACTAAGCGAATTAAAAATAAATAAATATAATCAGTGTTGCTAGTGGCTGCATAAACCATAAGCAAGATCACACAGACCGAGGACAACCTCATTTTAATTGACGAAAGCAGTCTTCTGGGATGTGGCACTGTGTAGATATTGTGTTAACTAACGTCTCAGAGGAACATATCGCCTCCATCTTCAGAGTAGAAGACAAGAAGAAATCTGCGAGTGAACCATCGTGAGCAGGTGCAACAGACTCATTTTAAGTGTTTAAACTGAAGACATTCCAAGTATCATATATGCTTTGATAAAGTTCTCTTTGGTTCATGCACATGCAGAAGAGAAGTCCTGTACATCCAACAAGATCTTCAGTATGACAATTACAGTTCCCCTCACACATTGAGAGAAGAATCTAGTGACACTGAATGATGCAATGACCTACATCACAGTCTGATGATGATGCACCCTGAGAGATGTTTTATGCAATTTTGTGGCAATATCATTATTAGTATAATTAACTTCTGTAGCAAGCCTAAACAAATGGAAGGATTCTCACATTCAAAAGATGGCTGTTGTGGCCGTGATAGAGGAACTGCAGCCTTATGGGTTCTATGAGGTCTGCTACTCCATGGTCCTGGTTTTAATGTATTTTCCTTAGTGACTATGTCTTTCTGTGGTACTCCTGACAGATGAAATCCTTCCAAAACTGCAAACTCAGCCCCTATGTTATCTTCATCCTGAAAATCCTACAAAATATTCACATTAAATGAGTGTTCAGTTCATGAAAAATGGAGTAATTGGCCTTCCTTATCAACTCAATGATATTTAGCAGGTTAAGGACTGAACACAACACACACAAATACAGAGTAAAACACATATATAACTCAATGCTAAACACACTGACATTTTTTAATTTACCACTACAGGTGTTTGTTTCCAAACAAAAATAGTGCACTGTACATATCCAATGTGTTATATATATTTATAATCTGAAATTCATGTTACATAAACACATTTTAATATTAACAGAAAGTAAAAATTTTGGTTTCCTTTCATCCCCACTTTCTTTAACAGTCAATTAAAGTGTTCTGCACATTCTGTTGATGCTCTGGCATAACTGTCCCCATCTGCAGGAGGATAATGTTCCTCCATCAAAGTATAGAACAAAATTCTGTGAACAGAAATAAATTATTCAAGCAGAATATTTTATATTAAATTCTTGTATTTTTTTATTTCCATGTTAAACATTTTCCACATATCTCATGCTAAATTATAGGGGCTACAGATATTCGACAAATACAGACATGAATGCATACATCTCAGCTTCCCATGTAAACAAACTGATATAAGACTTCTGCCCTATATACCACAAATCAATTTGATAGGATTCAAAGTATATTCACTACATTTATAAAGTACTTGAAGCTTCCACTGCAAGTTGAGTTAACTTAACCTTGTCAACAGCTGATCACAAGAGAAGATATTAGTTCATTCAATGTATGTTTCTATTTGATGATAAAAAGGTTAGTTACATAAATGTTACCCCTCCTACAACAGTACAGTATTTTTTGGAAATGTCTCAGTTTCTTCACAAAAAGGCATTCCTCCTCCTTTGCAAATTATTAATTATATTTCTTAGATGATTTTCTTAACTATGAATATTTTTCAGTACTGTGGAGTACAGGTCAGTTCCTAGGCAAAGATCTTGAAACGGGCAATTGGTACAGTCACTGTTATGCAATATGCAGATAAAGAAACACCCTGTAAGATTTGAGGATTTCATGGCGGTGGCTATGAAGAATGCTGTCTTCTGGGATTTGGTGCTGTGTAGATCTTGTGTGAACCAATATTTCAAAGGAACATCGGTTCACACAAGATCTACACAGTGCCACATCCCAGAAGACGGCATTCTTCAAACAAAGTGTTTTTAAGCAGCGGTTAGTAAACACGTCAACAATACCCAGGCTATTGCTAGGCAACTGCTTGGTAAATGGGTTCCCACAGTAATTGATACACATGCAATGATTGAGGCATTGTTAGACTATAACAATGGAAAGAGTGTTTTTTTTTTTCTATATGGTCCTTGTGAAGATGTTATAAGCAGGACGGTATGAAGCAGTAAATTAGTTGTTGGTTAGAGTTGTCAGCAGTTCAGCTGAGTGGAGTGACATGAAGTAGCTGGTTGGTGAGGGAGAGAATTCATGTGTCAGTTGGAGTTGAATAGGAGGCTGGTGTGAAATGGCTGCCACACTGGGATTCAGTTAGTTGAATTGTCAGTTGAGAGTTGAGTTCTTCACGGAAAAATGTTGACAAGAGAACCTGAGGAATTTCCACTGTATCAAATCTGTTGCCAGGAAACAGCTAGTGGACACTCTAATAGACTTAGGACACTAGTCTCTGTGTGTCGGTGATTTGTAAAGTGTAGTTCCGAGGGGTGTATACAAGTGATAAATAAATCAATTCATCAATCCATAACCCAACTATAGTCACATACACACAAAAACATGTGACAATACTATTCACTCCATCTGTTGACTAAACTCAATTTGTATCCTAGATATTAATCACTTACAACACTCGAAAACTCACAGTCAGAACTTTAATGGAGCCCGCCTGGGCATTACTTGAGTGATTGCCTTGTCGATTGATGGGCTGCAGAATACCTGGAGGTCCCCTCTGGATATGGTCCCCTATTCGAACATTCCCCACTAGGTTCTTCTTGTGGCCATGGGCTTTCAGCTTATTCAGTGCCACTCTTTGTTCTGTGCACACATCTTCAGCTTCCAACTTGCCATTCAAAACATGCCTTGCCACTCGAAGCTGGAAGTTCCTACACATTATAAAAAATCAATACTCCTATCAATACTCCATTTCCTTTTATAAATAATACTGTGACGTGTTGTGCTATGCAGGACACCCCTCCCCCCGCCAGCAGTGATGTAACACCATCAGAGCACTGTCGTTACTAGAGCAGCAGGCAAGTCAACACTCCTTCCCCTACCCCGCCAGCAGTGACGTGACCAAGGTATGCCACGGTTGCTATGCAGCCACAAACAACTCCCAACAGCGTTGCTAGTAACACGGCGCCAGACAACAGTGGTGCCTATTACGTGGCTGTTTTCTGTGTTGTCCGGAACAGGGCTAAATAAGGAGCAGCGAAGACTATTCACAGTTCAGTTCTCAAGGCAGCAGTTACAAGTTACTTGCGAGTTGGCCAGAGAATAGTATGCAGTCTAGTAATTGTAATACTGCAGATAGCAGTAGCTGTGAGATTGTAAACTGTGTGATTATAAGAGCGAATGTGCAATAAATTTTCTATATCAAATATGGCGTGAAGTTATCTGTCGTGTTCTACACCCAACACGTGACAATACATTTGATATACAGCCAACTTACAATTCCTTTAACTAAAAACAAAGGTCTGCAACCAAAAAACTGCATAGGATATTTTTACTGTTTCTTATAGATTTTTACTCACTAAAACTGGAAATAATAGAAAAAAAATCGATCATGTCAATTTTTTTTGCAAAACTCATATTTTTAGTTTAATTTTGCGTGAAATTTCTCTTCACCATGAACTCTGATAT